CCCCCCCCCCCCCCCCCTTCACTCTCTATCTCTACCCCTACACAACATACGCTTCCAGTGACGTCACTACAGCAAATTGTGCGTTCTGCATCTAGGCCATCAGTGAGTGACATCACCCTTTTTCTCTCCTATTTGCACAAACGCACGTGGAAACGCCCTTATCAACAACACCTTATCTGTGGCCCTTCCTGTGCCCTCTTACAGGGCTACTGCTGACAAGACAAATGTCCTCCAAACGTCTCTGCTCCTCAATGGACAGCGATAACCAAACGTGTGTTTTTTAAGCCATAACGGGGTAAAGGATTAAGACCAGACTCGACCTGGACCAGACGTTCATCTCTGATAACAAAAACCACCCCTGGCTGATTAGTGCCCCATCATGCCACAGAACAGGGTGTGCTGGAGGACAGTCTTTGCGCGCTTTCTAATCGCTGGCACTGGTGAGCTGAGGACCTAAAGTGAAGAACTTTTTATTTTATAGCCCAAGTGAATGATCAAGGACACGTGTGAGAGTCACTAGCGCTGCCATTGTTTTTATGCGTGTGTGTGCTACTATTTCCTGCAGAATCTACAGCGCCACAGAAGATGTAATTATATTTTACCCGAGTTGTAAGCTTGCAGTCTAAATTGAATGTGATGACATAAAAAGGACGGTGTACTGTAAAATAACAATGGTACGATACAATAGACGTGTTTTCTTCACTGGCTGCACTTAAAAGCAAGCATACAGTGTGACTGGTGTAGTCCAGTTCACAAAGAAATGACCCTGAGGCAATTATTTTAATGTATCATGCAAATGACTCATGAGTTATTGATCTAAAGCAGATTAATCCTTCACTGAACTTACGCAATCTCTTAGAGAGCTAAATTAACCGCCGTTTAACTGAAGCCCACAAGTTATCTGAAACTGACAAAAAGTCCTTTTGAATTATGCTCAAATGTAATGTGAAAAGTATTCATAAATGTGTTTTAATTCTAAAAAAAAAGTTTGTTTCAAAGTAGTGTGTAAAATAGTTACAATTAGCTTTACATAAAAAGAGAAGTAGTATTTGGTATGTCCTCATTTAGATACTGTAGCAAGGTGCTCATATTATAGCAATGCATTAAGCTGGCCACGTGCACATCTAGGTCACATCCTAACTGTATATATCATTAATGTGTATGTGTGTGTCATGTTCTCACCTACCCACTGTTTATCATTAGTGGACTACGTGTTTGTGCCTGTATAGAAGTATCTAACTCTTGTTGTTGCATTTAAACTGTGCACACTTTCAAACTCAAACATTGTATTGTACTAACAGCACATGGCTGCAAGTGTTTTTCATTTCAGTTTCAAAATGCTCATCTACAGAAACATCCAACAGGAGTTTAACATATACCCACGTCTACCAGTCCCCCATGACGATGTAATACAAAAACTAATGAAATTAAATATATTAAGTTTTATATGTACACACACAGAACACACTAACATCACAGTTAAATGTGGCTCAAATCAGAAATTGGATCTGCATATGATTTAAAGGCAGAGTAGGTGATTTGGTTCAAAAACATTTTTTGTTATGCTGGTTGAAAGTCTCCATATCCTAGGGCTGCACGATAAATCGCATGCGATATTTAACGCGCATCTTGTCAGAAAGCCGGTTCTGTAATCAGCGGTAAATCTCCATCACGTGCGTGCTTTCACACTGAGCAGCATTAACTACACAGAGCTGTTGTTCACTGAGGAGCTGCGCTAAAAATCGCGCGAATATGAACGTGGTTTTGCATAAGATATTGATCATGAAGCATTCTGGTCTGGCTGCATTAAACCATCCCAATTGGAATCCATATATTGGGGGAGGCGTGGCTTTGCAAAGTGATTACGCAGGGAGGGTGGGGATCTTGCTTTCAAAGCTAACTCGCTAATACTAGACTTTCAGAAATTGCCTACCCTACCTTTAAATGTGCAAAAATATATATATAAAAAATATAAATTATATTGCATCAGTAAAATTTTTTGAAAGAAATGAATACTTCCATTCAGTAAGGATGCATTAAAATGATAAATGACAGTGTGTAGTGACATATAATGTTACAAGAGACTTCCATTTCAAGTAAAGGCTAAACTTTTTATTCCTCAAAGAATCCTGAAAACAATCCTCAAAGAACACATCACGGCAACACTGATAAGATATGGGGGGTTTTTTTAGCAACAAATCAGCATATTAGAATGATTTCAGATTTCGAGTGCCTACAAAAAAAATGCCATCACGGTAATGAATTACATTTTAAAATACATACAAGTTACATACAAATAGAAACATACATACAAATTAGGGATGCACCGAAATGAAAACTCTGAGCTGAAACCTGAAACAGAAACTTCTGGATGCACTTGGCTGAAAACCGAAACCGTAAATGCTCTGTAATAATTATTTATAATTTTGTTAAATAAAAAGTCATTTTATAAGACTGAATCATATAACTTTTTTTTTTTATAATTATCCAAATAATGTATAGTCCTACAGAGCTATTATTATCAGAGCATGTGAGCAGAGCAGTGAATGGGAGGGTAGCGTCATTTTACCAGCTCTGCCATGTTACAACACAGTAGAGCTACTGCAAACAGGAACAAGTATACTACATAGAAATTTCCTGTCGGCGTGTTTTTTTTAGCGGACTTTGCTTTGCCAGTGAGCATGAGCGGTACCAGAGATTGTACATAAGCAGAATGCACATTCATAGAGCGGAATATTAAGCGGAGTCACACCGTGCAGTGACGGTGGCTAGAGGGAGAGGGAAAGCCGAAAATGCCATTTGTGGCTGATCATTTTCGGCAGCCGAAAATTCAGTGCATCCCCAATACAAACAGAACAGTTAAACTATAATATTAAAATCACAATATTACAGTTTTGCTGTATTTTTATATTACTATATTTTAAAATAAAGTAGCCTTAGCGAGCAAAATAACGTTATAAAAAATCGTTAAAAACGTTAAAAAATCCACACTTCACACTCTTGAGTGGCAGTGTAAAATATTAAACTATTTAAAATATTAATATTGACATAATTGAGGTCTCAAAGGGTCACTTGCTTTGAACTAAGAAAATGTAATTCTAATGTACACATGATGAACATGCCTGGATGAGGATTTATGCATGTAGCTGGGCTTAGGAGTGCCACTCCTTTCATGTTGTTGTGGGTCACTTTGACTCATTTAATACTTTTTTTTTTTTTAACAACCGATTTGCTGCAGCTTAAAACCAGATTTACAGGACGGCAAAGTAAAATGTTTTTACTGTCACCATGTCTCAAACATGCTCGGTCACAAACAGGAAAATTGTGACTGCTGAGGTGTGATTTGTCATGTAGGGTCAATTTGACCGAGCTGGATCTTCAATGGTAACAGCACAGAAAGGTGTCATATTGGCCACGTTAAAGGAAAAAAAAAAAAGTATGAAGCACCAGGGCACAATCTCTCACCTCATTTCCATACATCATTATGTGGTGTGTGGTGATGAGGGCTTTGAAGACCACAACCCAGCTGCTGTTGGTGGTTCTTTCAAACAGAGTGTCGGCCAGCTGGGGCACGTTCACATTCATCTCATTGGTGCAGTAGATCAAGTCTGAAAACACACATGGGGTACATGTTAGAGCAACACGCATCATTGATTCACATCTCAAATGGTTCAAAGATCCCGCTAGGGCTGAATGATTAATTGCATTTGCGATATCGCGATATAGGCTGCGATTACACTCGGTCACGTGACACGCGAGAGTAAAGCGGTGTGTTCGACTTGAAGATCAATCAGTGTATGACATCAAAGTACGGCGAGAGAAAGCATGAGACGTCCACTCTCTTATAGCTCTTACAGTACTTTGATGGCACACACCGTATAAGCAGCGCTACTTCAAGTCGAACACATCTAAGCAGTCTTCAGAGGAAGCATCAAGTTGGTACGCTACAGTGTTGCCAAGTCCGCGGTTTGCGGACTTTACCGCTACACGTCGAGTCACGCCGCAACAGCTCTACACTGGACGCGACAAAGCGACCATGGCAAATCATTTTAACTTTGTGTCAGTACATCATAAATAGAACAAGGCATCAGTTTAATGTCGGGTTTTGTCATGTCACGTCGCGTCATCCAACGTCAGATTTTTTTTTTTTATAGGTTTTTTTTATAAGCGACCAAAAAAGTTTAAACAGACAGTGTTTAAAAAGTGCAGTCCACATGTTTACTACAGTGACTTTGAATTACCTAAAGTAGTGTAGTAAAGCAACAGATTTGTTTTTATATTTCTGCACACTACTTTAGTTTGTGTGATTTGTTACGGACTTTCATATTAATGTTGACACCAGGCTTATTTGTCAGTGCTTTATGTTGTTTTCCAAAATCGTTCAGCCCTAGATCCCGCACAAGATGTTTCAAACACAGCACAGACACAAACATAGCAGGACACTCGCATTGCATGAAACACACATTAAAGTATTTGCAGCAGGTGCTAATGGAAGAAGATCTCAGTGGACTCTCATAATATCGCTCTGCACGCTACACAAAGGGTTAGACAGGCTTCTAACCCAGTCGTTCTGTTATGCAACACTCATAGACAAGAGAAGATCCAAAGAGCGTCACGTCTTTAAATATGCAGCAGCATCCCAGTTTTGCTTTGCGTACTCGCATCCGAAAGCAGCATCTCTTGAACGCCATCAGAGGCTCCAAAACTCTTGTTTCTGTTCTTTCCTGTTTGCATAATGAAGACATTCCTCCTTCAGCCCATAGTGTTCTTTTTTTGTTCTTCAAAGGAAAATCTCTTTTCCCCCTTCCCTTGAGAGAAACATCTTTTCACACACAGAGCAGGTAATGAGGGAGATGACTCCTCCGTATCTGTCGGATTTTGGCCCTGTGGGCCTGTCTGTTGTTCTAATAGGGAGTTCTAATGGTAAGTAGTGCAGCTCCCAATTGGAGTCTGATGATGAATCACAAGGATCTGGCAAAAGAGATGGTAAACTAGTATGGGCTATACATCTACAAAACACACTTACAGGATGCCAGTGAGGTACAAATGACCCATACATTGAGAATGTGATGCACTACACTGTACACATAGAGGAACTTTATAATAATTTTCATTGAATTCAGTGAAACACAAAAGTGCAATTTAACATTTACCTCAGTTGGCATCGACAGCAGTTATTGGTTGAGATGATTATTATATCTGTTAAATAAATATTGATTTCCAGAGAATGCACAAACTAATAAAATGTATACCTTGAATGCAATATAAGTCACTTTGGATAACAGTGTTATCTGCAGAGTTTTTAAATCAAATTCAAGATGCTTTAAGAGCTGCACAAGTAAAATTAAAACATATGTCCCAACAGAACAAAGCCATATTGTACAATCTTAAAATAAATCATGTATATCAAAGTATTTTAGGTAAACATGCTAAGGCACACATTCAACTGCAAAACTGGGTAAGTTTAAAATACTCGAGACTAGGGATGTTAATTTCGGTTATTTTTCCTAACCGACAACCGACGCTCGTTAACCGACAAGATTATTTTAAATTAGAATTGAAGTGTCTGTGACCGGTTAAAAAATACTAACATTTGTTTTCCTGGGATTCATTTTACATTGGCAAAAAGCAGCAACCAACAGAACATGAGGATTCACATGGTCTTCATACCAAATCACGTACCTGCAGCGTGATGTGGAATGTATGCATGTATATATATACACATACACATACATATATATATATACACATACACATACACATATATATATATATACCACATCACGCTGCAGGTATATATACATACCACATCACGCTGCCTTTTTACTTAAATAATAAATTAAGAAAATGAAAGAAAAACTGTGCAACAAGTAGCCTAGCCTAGTATGCAGAGTTTCAGTTCATTTTTGTGCTGCGTGAAAGGAAACAGACGACAAAAAGCAGCATCCTATTTTTCTTTAGGCTTATTTTACAAAAGCACAAAGATTTGTTTTTATTGTGAATGTACACAAATAAAGGCAAACCTTTTACAATTCCGATTATCTTTAGGACTAAAAGGAGTAGTTGCTTCTACTGTTATAAAGAAAATACTCAAGTAATTGCGCCGGCGCCGCATGCGCACACACAGTTAAGCATTGCTACAATGCAGCCTGTTCATAATCATAATAACAGTCAGTCAAACATGGAAAAAATGAAAAAAAAACTATGTAGTAAAATATATGTAGTAAATCTGTGCCGTTAAGTAGGCTATTATCACCGCACCACCGTGATGTTATGCAAAACATTTTGTTTTACGTGGATATTGGAACGCGAGTGAAGTAGGCTACATAATAAATAATAATTTGCCATTCAAATAAATCACGAATACGGAAACATTTGATTTTGTGTGGAATGAGAGACCCAACGTTGGTTTCAGTTTCGTTTTAGCCTAAATTAATTTGTTTTGGCTTGTCGTTTATATTGCTATAGCTTCTTATATTTTAATTCTTGTTCTTTTCTAAATACTGTTAATTGAAAGGATTTTTGTGGAGTGAGGGGAACTAAAATAGCCAAGCTATGTTTACAGTGTTTATTATAATGTTTGTAAACATTTTGCATCGGCATTAGGCCTATTTCTGAATGAAATAATAAAATGCGACTTTTACACGACTTATGTTTTTTCCCCCTAAAAAACATTTTTTATACACGTAGCGTATTTTAACCATGCAGCAAATCTTTTTAAATATTTTGATAAATCACTGAAAAAATAAATAATTAAATTACTTTTTAAACCGTTTAACTGAATGTATTAATCGGTCAAAATTCTTACGGGCAGTTAACCGGTTAAAATGAACATCCCTACTCGAGACATGGTTTTCTAATCTAGTATAGGGACAGCAATGCCTTCTCAGCCCAGGGCTCGCAAAATTGCTAGCCCGACATCCCGGGGCTATTGTGTTTTCCAGTTGGGCTACAAAAATGTATTACCGCCTCCTTAAAAACTCTTCAATTTAGTTGTATCAAATTTAAGGCGTAAAAAGTCTTAAAGGGTTAGTTCACCCAAAAATAAAAATTAGCCCATAAATTACTCACCCTCAAGTCATCCTAGGTGTATATGACTTTCTTCTTTCAGACGAATCCAGTCGGAGTTATATTAAAAATTGTCTTTGATCCATCAAGCTGTTTAATGGCACTCAGCGGGTGTTGCAGTGCATCAGTCCAAAAGAAGTTAAATAAAAAGCGCTCATTCATAATAAAAAGTGTCTCACACGGCTCCGGGGGGTGAACAAAGTCCTCCTGTAGCGAATCGATGCGTTTTTGTAAGAAAAATAACCATATTTAAAACATAAGAATCAATTGAATCTAGCTTGCGCTCACTGTTGTACACTGGAAGCAGTTCCGGGCGGATGACGTATGAGGTCAGCTTTGAGCATGTGCCGCTCAGAAGTGACGAATGCGGAAGCGTGGGGAGAGATCAAAACAAAACAACGGTCACTAATTAAAAGTACAAAACGAGGATTTGTAAAGAAGAATGTCAGAGGATTTCGATATAAGCCAAGAGGAGACTGGTTTTTCTTTGCTAAAGTAAGGAAACTTTGCTTCCTTTGCTCCGGTTAACAAACGTTGGTTTCACAAGACTCACCTGCGCATGCGCAACGCTGACCTCATACGAAAACTAAACAGCTTGAAAGATCAAAGATCATTTTTTATATAACTCCGACTGGATTTGTCTGAAAGAAGAAAGTCATATACACCTAGGATGACTTGAGGGTGAGTAATTTATGGACTAATTTTCATTTTAAGGTGAACTAACCCTTTAAATTAAAACGATAATAAAGACGAATAAAATCACAAACTCAGTAATGTTCTGCAGGAACACACATTCACTTTGATCACAGTCACATCTACAGTCATTTCTTTATCCTGTAAAAGGCAGTTATGAAGCGTCTGATATTTATATTCAGACAATTACACATTGTTATCCCTTTACAGTTCCTACTCTCATTATAAAAAAATAAATAATAAAAAAATTTATTTGACGTTCAACAACAGATATTTCAGCACAACGAATGTTTTTGCGCTGAGTATTAATTGTCTCCCTCTGTCCCTGTCTCCCTTCAGGGATTGGCCTGAAGCCGCTCTAGCAACAAACGCAATCCTGAAAAATATTGTCATGGAATTATGTCGATAGCCGATAGTTCCAGTAATCAACTATCGGCAAAACCGATACATCAGTCGACCCTCAATTGAAACAATGAAATAAAAGTCATTGGGGTCCAAAACAAAACTGGACCCCATTGACTTTCAATGAATGAATAAAACAACAGAGACAATCTGCAAAATATCTTATTTTGTGTTTCACAGAAGACAAAGGTTTGGAATAAACACAAGGGTGAATAAATAAAAATTTTCATTCTTTGGTGAACTATCCATTTAACAGAAATAATTTATTTAACATGCAACCAAAATAAACACAAATGAATCAAAGTCAAATTGGAGCAAATTTGGAATCAAATTGGCAGCTTGTGAATCGAATCTGGAGACCTGTATCAATAACCCAGCCCTAGTTGCTGGTGTTGTGGGTGGTTGCTAGGTGGTTACTAGGTTATTCTGGGTGGCTGCTTACTTG